TTTAAACAAGGAGAGGACCCGTGAAGGGAACGCCTGAGATCTTCAAGCTGGCAATCAGAACTTAGACGCTCTGCTTAGTGAAGCGGCAGTGTACATGCTTCTAGGGCACACAGGGACTGTAAGCGAATGAAATCGGTCATTCAGAAAGATAAGGAACAGATCTACTAGACAATGAGGGGATCCGGAGTAAGTCAATCAGTCGAAAGAGAGGGTTCGGGGTGAATAGCAAGTGTGATATGGCCACACTGGATTTGCCACAGAAGGGCAGACATTTTTACTGGTTTAATGTAAACAAGTCAGAAGTTTTGATAGCGCGGGAGTGGGCTAAGAGGGTAAAGAGTAGATAGGCCAAGACAAAAAGATGAATGATAGTGTTACTGTTTTTGGCATTCCTTTGTCGGGGAATTGACTTCACTTGTCTCTGACGAGTTTGTAGCTCGGTTCGGAGAATGGTTAAACTCACTGATGATGCTGGAGAAACTTTTGAGAATGTATTAAGTCCAGAGTCTGATGCTGGGAATCATAACAACTACTGTGACAGACGACTTTGGGCTAGGTGTGTTCTAATACAAGACAAAGTTACGACAACGAAGTCAACGTACTTCTCTAATTAGCTAAGCCTATTAATTATCTTTTTCTTAATTGATTCTATATAAGGGGCAGATTAGAATCCTTAACTTAGTGTTAACGAGAGTTCAAGCTCTGATAATTTCTTTCATATCAAGTTGGAAATCTCAGCTCATTTTCATCCGAGACATAGGGTGTCCTATGGACGTCATCAAACTGAACGTTGTATTAAGGCCAAATGGCTGCAGTATAACGGAATTCAACCGTCGTCTTCTGGTGAAAGTGACCTTAAACCTCTTATTAAAAAACTTTCATATGAAATTAAAGTCTCCCTAGCTAGGTTAATGCAGCAGATTCATCGAAAACCAGTTGCTCTTTGTATTATCTATAACTTACCCAATCATTGGATACTCTATCAACATCGCTCGGAATTCTTTAGGCAAATTAGACCCACTATTGATAAAACTCATAGAACTAATTCGTCATTAAGTGTATAATTTAAGAAAGTAAAATTGCTGCTTTGTCTGGCCATAAATTATTATACGCCTTATAAACATCCATATTTCCAATATATGAATGACGGCTTCGTTTTGTAAATAATTCCTGGTCATCAATAGAATAAACTTCAAAATTTGTATCCATTACACTGCATAATATTTTAACGACTTATCAGAAACTCTCTGAAGGCTTGCGAGTTTAGTTTAACCCATTTCACTTTTCTGTTGTGAAACCGTGGAAAACAAATTTATTTTGAGCCACGGGATTTGTTAACATGACTTAATATCAGAATAAATAAATCATGTCATATGATTCTTGGCAAACACGAAATTTTATATTTTTCAATAATTAGAATGTTTATGCCCGGAAAATTAACCCTGATATGTTTCTATATTATGTACCATTTTTACCGATTATGAGTGATCATGAATTGACTTAATTGTAGCTCTATAGATTATGCTAGGGCACGCACACTACCACCGTCAATCACAAGAAATTGTGTTTTTAAGTAATTTTTTTGAACATAAGTTGTATTAGAGAGTTAATAGAAAAGTGCAAAAATTTATTGTCTTGAATATACTCTTTTTTATTTTGTAGTTTGGTTAATTCTTTACTATTGAATCAAAGAGCATAAGGGGAGAAGCGGAAACGCCCTTAGCTGTCTAATCGAACCTCCATTTGTTTGCAATGCCACACTATTTGCCTCGAACGTTAGCTAACGAGGTAATTCCTATTATTGGGGAACTAGTTATTTGTTCCTTGGCTCAAAATGAATAGTTAACGCGCGTGCCACTCTTAAGATTTTGTTTAGTTGAATGATTAATGTATATGTTATAACACCTACTAGCAAAGAAAAAGCCAATCCTCGTAGTTAATATTAATTAAATATTTTCAAATCTTTAAGGACAATCAACAATTGTAGCTGAAATATCCCTTTTGAGATAAATAGGATATTCAATTTCTTCAACGAA